TTCGAGTCTCCAGTGTTAGATGACTCAACCATGTCTATTTGATCTGAGTCAAATTCGTAGGATGACTTGGGAAGAGATGAAGAAATAGGAACCTCTGATTCTATAGAGCTGGTATTTGTGTAGACACTTACAGTATCAAATGCATTGTCTTTTGTGGGACAGACTCCCAGATCAAATCCAGTCTCCTGGTCAAGGTTACTGGTGGTCTCAATTGGCACTGTGAGGGAGGAATTAGTAACTCTGGTTGTTGTCTCTGGTGAGTCTGTTTCTGCTTCGTGGCTGGGCAGACTTTGCTTGAGACACTCTCTGACCAGACTTGTACCCTCCTGAACGGTGTCAGGAGCGTTCATCTTGGTAGTCAGGATGCTCAGTCTGGGAATAGGCGAGTGGATCTTGCAGAAAAGAGACGGTGGTATAGTGGTATTATGGGTCTCTGGTACCGAGACAACATTAGGAAACTGCGTACTGGTACAACCTTCACATTCAGACTGCTCGTCCTCCAAAGCTGCTATGCAATGAGCACCCAGTTCATCAAAGACCAGGTCCATGAGGGGATCGCCAGTGCTATATAACCCCTCAACATCTTCGTCTTCAGTTTGGGCTGGAAAGCATTCAGCTTTAAATTTACGAGGAACTTCAGTTTTGCAGTTGGGAGGATCAACAAGCCATTTGTCCAAGTCAGAGTCAGGAGGTTTAGGGATGCTGTGTAAATCAGAAAAGGGTATATTAACATCATTATCAGGCATAAATACACTCATCCTTTCCTGTATCAGATCAATAAGAAAATGCATTTCAAGCAACAAGGCAATGTAATTATTATACATTACTCTTAACTGTTTCTGCATAAATGATAAAGATTTGTTACGTGAGGTTTCTTTAAGAGACACACAAAGAAGTTCATTCACCCTATCACAGGGTGTTTTCTCAACCATTTTTCGCAATTGGGTAACTGAGAAAACAAAGGGTCACATATTTGTTTGTGATAACTTTGCAGTTCAGTGATAAGTCCACATAATACAGATTTCTGAACCTGGAAAGAAACATTTATAGTAGACAAGCATAAGGTAGAGGCCTTTTCTATCTGCCGCTGGATTTGTTTTAACTGATCACAACAAGTCTTAATGAGAGCATACTCTTGCTGTGAATCAGCGTTAATACCAACAATTTTATCCATTGTGATCCTGGACATTATTCTTTGCTGGTTCCAAATGGCCAGATCATTCTGTAATGACATGAAGGGGTGCTGCCCTGGAGCAGCACTGTCCCTTTAAATGTGGGAACCACTATAGCAAAGAAATAAGTGCCAAGACACAAATGAAATAGGTTAAATCAAGAAATATATATTTACAGGGAACCAAAGCAGAAAGTAAAACAAAATATATACATACACAGACAAGGCCAGGGCCGGACTGGCCCACCGGGATACCGGGAATTTTCCCGGTGGGCTGCGGCACCTGGGGCCGGCAGGAAGCCCTAATGTACTATTTAAATAATTTTTCCCTCCTAGTGACAGAAGCTGTCACAGAATTTATGAGGCTGGTGCGGCCACATTAAGGCGGCTGGAGGGAACACTGAGTCTCCCTTCCTGATTCCCAGCAGCACTTAATCCGCGGGCCAGCACGTTAGCTCCGCCCCCGAATGGAAGCTCCGCCTCTGTTTGGAAGCTCCGCCTCCCACACTCAAGCAGGGGAACTTGCTGCAGGAAGAGGCCTGGCCTCCCAGAGAAAATGTCATCTCCCACTGCCTCCATTGCCAGGTAGGCTTTATATTCTGTGTAGTGTGTGTGTCAGTGAGCTAAAAGAAGGGGATATTGATGCAGTGAGGGGGGTATTGATGGTGTGAGGGGGATATTGATGGAATGAGGGGGGCTATTGATGGTGTGAGGGGGGTATTGATGCAGTGAGGGGGGCTATTGATGCAGTGAGGGTGGGTATTGATTGTGTGAGGGGGGTATTGATGGAGTGAGGGGGTATTGATTGAGTGAGGGGGGTGATAATGTTGTAAGGGAAGGAGGGGGGTGATGGTAAGGGATTAAATACTTTTTTTTTTTTTTTAGCTCCCTGGTGGTCCGGTGGCCATAATATCCGGTCTGCAGCTCCGCAGAACTGCAGACCATGTATCTCGCGATATCTAGTCAGAGCGTTGCCGTGGTAACCTGCAGCAACGCTTTGATTGGCCAGATCTCGCGAGACACGTGGTCTGCAGCTCTGCACATTGCGGAGCTGTAGACCTGTGTCTGCAATTGACGCTCTCCTGCCGGGCCGATTGGAGGGGCCTAGCACCCGGTGGCATACAGAGCAAGCCACTATGCGAGGCCTTAGGCGGCTGCCTAAATTGCCTAATTAGAGAGCCGCCTCTAACCACAGTCTAGCACCTGGTATTAAAACAGTGATTATATTATAGCAGGAGTGCCAAGCAATATTGAACTGTATATATTTGTATGTGTGTAATATATATATATATTACACACATACACATTACGTGACACAAGGCCTTATGGGGCTGGCATACATTTTTTTTTCCAGGGCTGCTTTGAATCCCCAGTCCGGCCCTGCTTATACATACACATACACTTATAATAAATCTACCCTCTGGGTGTTGATCTTTATATTTGATGTTGCTTTTTAGAGAATTAGAAAAAAAAATGGATACTCCACTTTTTTTGCCTTCTGTTCTGGATGCACATATTAATGGAAAACTTTTACTATACCATCTGGTTTCATCCATCTGACACCAATGAGTCTCCTAGACAAATGCAATTTGAATTTCTTCTTTT